TTAGCGATCATATTTATGGATTTATGAAGGACTCTTTTCTTTAATCATCTTTTGGGTACAACTTTGGGAAATCAGGATGTGTCGTCGACATAGTTCCGACACGAACATAATTGTCGCGTGGATTGGATACCGCGGCAAGTTTTGGGGATTTGGTGTCAAAACGGAGTGATATCTGTTCTGTGCTTCATTTCATAGAATGAGAATGAGAATAAACATGGAGCAAAATTACCGTTCCAAATTTTGAATGTGAATGTTCCGACCCACCAATGTTTATTATCAACCTCGTTAAATTATATTGGCTGCAGTGCACCGACTTGAGCAAAATTCGATACCTCTCTCAGAACTTGTCACTAGCCAACTAGTTCTCAACTCGCCCCAGGGGGGAAATTTGTAACAAAGGTATTAGCTTCATCAAGGATGTAAGTTACAATCAGTCATCTCTCAGTGTCAGTGTGCCTGCGTTGTCAAGTAATGATGCCATGCAAGCACATGAAATCTTTGTAGTTGATCAAACCCAACAGCAAATCGGTCTTGTCTTCGTAACTTTGTAGTTTTGTATGTTCTCTCAGTCTAGGTTCTTCCTCTTTTTCTCATAGCCCCCCGCATCTACCAATCCCTAGATGAAATTTTCTCCGCCACGATCCATCTCACAGACCCGACAGGTGGCATATATATCTCCTTACCACTCTTAAACTCCCACCCTTCAGTCCGGCCGCCACACGACTTCATCAACGCCTCTACTTCGTCCGGCGTCCGCGTCCTCAGCGCAGAAATGTACCCGTCAAACACCAACACAAACGGAATAATCGGAATGAGATAGGTGAAAATGAGGACGGAGAAGCTGCGTAGCCTCCATGCGTAGAGCGGCGCGAAGATGAAGCAGCCGATACCGAGGATCGCGGGCATGATGAAGGACAAGAGGTCGCGGCCCTGCAGCTCCATAATAGCGAAGCCGTCCGACGTCTCGAGTGTATTCTTCAAAATCGCCTTCGCCAGCGGGTCGTCAAAGTGGTGGAACGCCAGATTAAACAGCCGAAACACCTTTTTGCCCTTGGAGGTATACCCGTCGACCAGCTCGCGCGGCGCGTGCGCGGCGTCGACGCTCTTTGGCTCGTAGCCGATATGCTCGCTGCGCGCGGCGGCGCGGGCCCAGGACTCGGTGTTTGGGTGCAGGTCCGTCAGCACGAAGTCGACGTTGGGCTGCTTCTGGGCGGTGAGGTGGCGGTTGACGAAGCGCTCGATGGCCGGGGTGGGACCGCCGGAGCCGGCGCAGAAGTCGATGAAGGTGTAGGAGGGGAGGCGAGGACCGAGGACGTGCTGGAGGATCTGGGCGGCGACGCGGGCCGGGGAGGAGGTTTGGAGGACGGGGACGCGGTAGACCCAGGCTGCGTGGAGGCCTTCTTGGACGTAGGCTCGGAGGAAAGAGGGGAACCTGGGGTTGGGAGAGGATGTGTTAGCTTTCTGCGATGACAGAGAGAATTGTGAAAGGCGAAAGTAGGAATTGGGAGGCGCAACTCACCAAGTCTGGTCGTCAATCTCAAAGAGGTGGAATCGCGGGACGAGAGGCGCCATCGTGATGACGTCGAGATGCAAGTAGCTGTCGTAGCAGGATTTCGTTTAACACTGGTGGCCGGTTGAGCAGTTAATGTAATTGATTGTACTGGAAGAAGAGTTTAGGTGACCAAATCACATGCAAAGCGTCCGATGTGTAGCTCCTTGCAAATCGGCTGGAGGTTCAATCTGGCGGCCACGAGGGCTTTATTACACGGTGCTTCTTGTTGAGACAGATGGAAGTTCGTAGCAGAATTGGGGTCCCCCTGTGCCCTGCCGTTAGCCGGCACGGGGTGGCGGGTGCGGGAGCTATCGCATTCGCTAGTGCTGAGCTCGAGACAGGGAAAGCTCCAGCCCGGGCATGGGTCCGACCCCCCCCAAGCTCCGCTGGAAACGTGCCCACTAGGTACCTCATCAGTTCACCACGACGGAAGCAACACCTGAGACCGACCTGGGTTCCAAAGAACAAGGTGATCACAGGCTAGATTGACTTGGCACATCGTTGAAGTCTGGTTGTAAGTACCCTTGATGGTATCATGGCACGTAAGGTGAAGAGTTCTTGGAAAAGAACGTCAACATGATGGCGGGGAGCTACCTTATCCTTAAAGGTAACAAGGGCCAAGGGCTTGAAGTTTCGACAGGGGTGAGATGTTTAGTGTACGCAGTAATGTGGACTTACTCGGGAGCGGTGCAATGGAACTCTGAGTTTCCCCGTCGGGGATGCAAGCTACCAATTGCTCCCCTCCCACTGGTCAGCGCCTAGGTATTGAGACGTTGGGGCCATTGGACAATCGTGTTGGCCTTCGTCTTCGTCATCATATACTTCGTGGTATCATTCTTCCTCACCCCTCCTCAACGCCTTCCTTCCACCATTCCTTTTCTGGCCGAGTTTAGTCAAGATCGAGAAGCTAGAAGTTACAGTCTTTCACTTACGGTAAATTGGGTCTCAAAGTGCGGATGGTGTCTTCGGCACGTGTTGTAGTGGAAAGTCGTCCCACATCTCCATTACGAGAGATCAAGGACATCGCCTCGTGATGGCCCTGGTCAATGCCTCAGCAGCCGTCGTAGTAGTTGCGATCTCACTCCTAGTATACGCCATCTTTGGTCAGCCAAGGCTGAGGAGGAATGGCGTCCCATTACGGTCAGTTCACCAACTTTCAAGCCTGTTGAGCTACCTATTGAATACACCGTTTGGTTGGATATTGACTTTGGCCTAGGCGACCTCCTAATACACTGCCGCTCGCCGGAAATGGCATCATCTTCCTCAGAGATCGCCAGAAGCTATTCGACTGGTTCACCAAGTGTGAACAACTTTACGGCTATGAAACGCTGCAAATCTCTGTTCCCAGTCTACCTCCAGGGGTCATCATCAGCGATCCCAAGAACCTAGAATACGTCTTCAAGAACGAGGGCATATTTGCCAAGGGGGAATTCTTCAAGGGGAGATCGAGGGACTTGTTTGGTGAGTCTTAGTGCCTCTCGGTATTGATGATCACTCCGCTTACGGGCCACAGGTAATGGCATAATCAATGTTGATGGCGACCTGTGGAAGGTCCAGAGAAAGGCCGGCCTCAATTTCCTCAATACCTCGAACCTGAGAGTTCTCACAGACGTGGCGTTGCCACAGTATCTATCTCAGAGTGTCGCCTACCTTGGAAGCCAGTCAGGTAATGATGTGGTGGACTTGCAGGCAGTCTTTCACGAAATCACGACCCAAGTCATGGGCAAGATGGCTTACAACGTATGTTGGCATGCTTCTCACAGTCCATTCTGTCCTTCTCATTGCTCCGTCTAACACATGACATAGATGGAAATGCACGCAGAAGACACGTTTGGCCTGTCCTTCGACTACGCATCAGGTGCGACTGCAAAGCGGTTCCAGAATCCAATGTGGTTCCTCACAGAGATCCTCACAGGAGCACGTCTGAGGAAATCCATCTCTGTCGTAAAATCCTTTGGACAGAGCATAGTCTCCAGTGCGATGACGGACAGAAAAGCGTCTCCCAAAACCGCGCCAGACGTCTCACAAGATCTGGGGAGCGACAGGCTCGACAACATATCCGGCAGTTTAGTCCAGTCATTGCTAGACACCATTGGAGACGAGCAGCTAGTTGCCGATGCCGCGCTGAATTACCTCTCGGCAGGCAAAGATACCACGGCGCAGGCTCTGACGTGGACCTTCTACCTGCTCATGCAGCACCCGGAGGTTGTAGCCAAGATCCGCGAGGAGGTCGACGACATTAAACAGCAAAGTGAGGAGGACTCACTTGAGAAAGCCATTGCGGAACGGGGTAACCCGAATACGATGCCGTACGTCTTCTCAGTCTTTTACGAAGCGCTGCGCATCTTCCCACCGATCCCTTTCGAAATCAAACAGGCTGTTCAGGCGACAACGCTACCGGACGGCACCTTTCTACCCCAGAACTCCGTCATTGTCTGGTGCACCTGGGCGATGAACCGCTCGCGCACCACATGGGGCTCTGATGCGGACCAGTTCCGGCCCGAGCGATGGCTGGTCGACGGTAAAGTCATCAACAAGAGCACCTCCGAATTCCCAGTCTTCAACGGCGGGCCAAGAACATGTTTGGGGAAGAAGATGGCTGAGATCATTGCCGTGCAAGTAATTGCTACCGTAGCTGGTCTCTTTGATTGCGTGAGAGTCGATGACTCGACGAGAGTCAGCAAGAGTAGTCTTACCTTGCCGATGAAGGACGGCCTGCCCTGTTTTGTACAACGTAGACCTGATGTCGAATTTTAAGCCATCAATCTTCCGTTTTTGAGGGTTCTCGTTCCCTTTGGTGGTCACTTTTGAAACTATTGAAGGCAAGTAAGTCAGAGGATGGGATAGGGGACACGACGTTGCTTCCGGAGGATCATCGATAACGGGTAGGGACCACTGTCGCATGTCTGCACCCCCGGTTGAAAGAACAGAATGCAAAACATCATTCTTTGGTCCATCAGGGTCTAAATGATCAAAAAGTATACTTCAACAGCAAAAAAGTTGCAAAAATTATAGCACAACCTGGTTTCGATCCAGGGACCTCTGGGTTATGAGCCCAGCGCTCTACCCCTGAGCTATTGTGCTTTGATGTGGGGCTGATTGCTGACGGTCTTTACCTAGACTAACAATCATCGATGCCCGCTCGCTCTGCACAGTACTTAGGTCCAGAATCCTGCACCTTTGTAATCGCGTGTCATTTGTGGAAATTCTCAGACATTGAGTAGAAGCAAACTGTGACGTTTAAGTGTTATAATAGTTTGAGGTATCTTTTCTGCCTTTAGATTGTTGCTTATTGACCAGTACAAGTTGGGGAAGTACACCAGTACACGTAAGGTATCACCAAGTCAGACCGTTTGTACGCAGACAAAGTCTTAACAGATTAATTACAGAGACACAAAAAGCCTATTATGAGATAAAGCTTTGGACACCCTTTCGGGTCTTCTTTTGACTACCTGAACCACCAATTCACGGAGGCATTCAACCTCCCATCATGATGTCTACTCTTGACACTATGCCACCAACCTTTGGGGATGAAGAGAGCATTTCCAGGGCCCAATTGAGCCTCTGTAATATCCGCGTGGCTCTCCGATCCCCAGACAGCTGTGTTCATTGCTACCCTCTCGCGGCCCTCCATCATTTCCGTCGATCTGATGCGACTACTCCCCGACTGCTGAAGCTGAGCCTGTATCTGACGATACAACCGATCGCCAGATGACGGCGGTAGCAGGCGGACTGTTTTGCTGCCAACAAGTTGACAGAACAAATTAGGGTTCGGATCGCGATGTAGCGGGGTATATGTCGGCTCCAGCCCAAGCCACAAGCTCGAATTGTATACGTCGCCTTTACCGGCTTCCAAGACAATGCGTGGGACAGGCAGGTCTTCCTGGAGTTCTAGAGGTAGGTCCGGGAGTTGAGCCTGGGCGATGTAAAGCTGCTTGATCTTCTTCTCGTGCAGGCTGTTGAATTCCGCAGCCTTGAGAAGGAGTTGCAGGGGAGCAACGAATGACGAGAACTTTGGCTCCGAGGCATCTGGGTGGGATGCTGCATGGACGATGCCTGCTAGCACTGCACCCATGGGATCCGGATCAGACGCGAGCCATGCAAGAAACTGTTGTGTTGTGTTCACTAAAACTCCAGAATCGTCGGCGATCTGAGGACTTATGAACTCGTATGGGAACATGTGGTGGGCGAATTGGTTCATATAGGGAGTGAATTTGGCGGTGGGTTTCTGGTTAGCGTCTTGAGTTTGGGCGAACCATTTTGAAGATGCTGAGAAGGAACTCTGCTGAGCAGGGTTGGAGGACTGGCCAAATAGGAGAGGTTTTTCTTGTGTGAATGAAGATCTTCGAAATTCTTCGATATTGACTACCTCGAATGGAGATTTTGTAGCTTCTACCGAGTGTAATGTTGAAAACCCACGTCGAATTTGGGGGGGCCTGGATGAAGTGAGCGCGTGGCAACAGCCGCGGGCAAGAAGCCTCATGTCTGAGAGCATCTACTGAAGGACCATAGTCTAAAAGTAAATAAACGAGAACAAGAATTGTTATGTATCATAGAACGAGCCATCAGCAAGCTAAGAAGAGCAGTGATGGGCGAGCAATTCGACTTGATTTGACATGGCTACGTACCTAGACACATACGTCTCGGTGAGTAGCAATGAATCAGTGGAAGCGAGAAGGAGTACCCTCACCGAGAAGATCGGCGAAGGGAACAACTAGAGGCCCGCTCACCGAATGACCGATGGAGTGCGCACAGACCAGCATAGTGATTGGACGTAATCTCAGCGGGCTGGGCTTCGTGAGGCACCGCAGTCCACAGCCCACCCACCACAACTACAGCTTTTGCTGAGAGGCTCCAAATACCGCTTCTCTCCCCTGCCGCCAGAAAAAAAGGACGGGGAAATATTTCTCTGTATCGCAACTCAAGTCTGCTCAGTACACGGCATCCGACCGCTCGCGAAACCATTCCTCGATCTCGCAACTTCCCCATCGTCCTTCGCGCTCGACATGCGCCGCACTTGACCCGTCACGCCCCCCAACTACCCCGCCACCTTTGCGCCCCTGCTGGGAGACCATCGATATCCAAAGCAGCTGTTCGGAGACCATCGCTGTCCTCCATCCGACGACTGTATCGCGCGTGCTTGCCCGCGTCGCAACCCAACCCATTTTTAAACGACACCCCGTCAATACCATCACCTTGGATTACCTCGACGACATGTCCACCTCTTCGGGGGCCCCGGAGTCTTGGATATCTTCCTTTTGCTCTCTCCTTGGCCATGAATACTTCGCTGAGGTTTCTGAGGAGTTCATCGAGGATGACTTCAACCTCACTGGCCTGCAGAATCAGGTCGCGATGTACAAGGAGGCACTCGAGGTACGCAGGCTGTTTCTTTCTCGCTTAGATTTTCTTTTTTCTTTTGTTCTTCTGGAGATTGGGAGCTCAAGCGACCTTTTCAGCCCCCAGGCTGCGCGATAGACGTCAATGCTGACCTGACCTGCATAGATGATCCTTGATGTGGAGCCTGAAGAGGACGAGGACGAAGAGGAGGAGGAGGATGAAGACGAAGACGAGAACGACTCGGGAGATCAAGACCGACTCGGCCCCAGACACGACCGGAGACAACATAGCCGCATGGCTAGCGACCTAAGTGTTATCGAGTCTTCCTCCGAGATGCTTTACGGCTTGATTCATCAGCGATTCATTTGCTCGAGGGCGGGCATTCAACAGATGAGCGAGAAGTATGAGTTGGGCCATTTCGGCTGCTGCCCCCGTACCAACTGCGATCAAGCGAGAACACTCCCTGTCGGTCTCTCTGATATTCCCGGCGAAGACACCGTGAAGCTGTTTTGCCCTTCCTGCCTCGACGTCTACGTCCCTCCCAACAGCCGTTTCCAAACCGTCGACGGTGCCTTCTTCGGCCGTACCTTTGGCGCCCTCTTCCTCCTCACATTCCCGGAATACGACCTCACTAAGCGTGGGGCCGAGGTTCTCAGCAGCGGCGGCGCTCGTATTAACGATGATTCGCTCGAGATGATCAATGGCATGTACGCTAAGAACATTGCACCGGGCCTGGGCGCTGGACGTATATATGAGCCCCGTATTTACGGCTTCCGCGTTTCCGAGATTGCAAAATCAGGCCCTCGGATGCAGTGGTTGAGGGACAGGCCGGATAGCATGACCGAACTGGACGAGGCGCGTCTGTACGCGGATGGACACCCCGATTCAGACGATGACGAGGAGAACCTGAACGGCAACGGCCGGCCTACGCCCCGTCGCCGTGCTCCTGGCAATGCGCGCCTCCGTGCAACGCAACGCCAGGCGCAGAATGGCAGCCCGATGGCTGTGGAGACGAACGGTGCAGAGTCGGAGCTTTAGGACTTGGTTTGGAAAACGATTCGTACTTATGGGACCGGTAGTCCTCCAAGGTTGGGCGGCGAGTGTGGCACCGCGCCAGGATGGAGGCAACAGGCCAGAGAGAGAAAGATGTCGGTGCAGATCGAGCGAGACGGTCAATACGGCTGCTCTGCATAAGGTAGATGGCGTTTAGGAGGCACACCCCGATCTCCGTTGATGAAAGAGGCACGGCGTTGCTAAGGGAGATGCATTACTGAAGTAAACAACTCATGCCGTTACACGAACTTTGGTTTCAACTCCTTTTGCAGGCAATGGTGCCTGTTGTGTAGGCTGAATGCGACGGCCATTGCATTTCTGGGCCTCGGGACACAGAATATAGACTGCATGCAATTCGACGGTCAAAAACAACGACTCTTCATCTCGCTCTCATCGCGATGCATGGAGATAATACCTCTACACAACGGCTCGGCGGCAGATCTCCTTGTAGGTAGCGATGGCCCCCGTGAAAACCACATCCTGCCCATGGGGTCAGCTTCTCGATGTCCACGTTGCGTCTTTCCTTGCCCTGCATACTAGTAACGTATCACTGGCCTGGTATTCTCCATTTCACCCCGCCCCCTCCTCCCACCTGCTCCTCTCCTCCCGGTCGCGTATTTCCCGGATCGCCATCATGCTTAATGCCCCAGACGATCCTCCTAGACCCACAAACCCATGCAGAATATATTCGATGAGAGGACTATACGGCCCCGGGTGAATGCTAGACAAATCTACGATCGAGCCTCTCTTCATTTATCCTATGCCTGCTATTTACCCGGATGATGTCACCCTGTACCGGCGATGCGGGGACTCGAGCTAGGCTTGTTCGTTGGCAGATATCCCGAGCATGTTTGGTGCGATTACCATGGCCTTCTAGTTCGCCTATAAGTCGCCCATCTAGTCTCGAATGTAACTACTGAGTGTCATATCTTGGAGAGAAGGGCATGTCACTTGCATTATAGTAGACATTATGTTTTCACTTGTAACATTGGCCGTGTGGCTGATGTGGCTTTCAGTGTCAGAGGGATCTAACTCGACCTTTTATAACCCAATAATCCCAGGATTTCATCCAGATCCTAGCTGTATATTTGTCCCTGAGTGGAATGATACCTTCTTCTGCGCATCCTCTAGTTTCAATGCATTCCCGGGTATACCACTCCATGCTAGTAGAGACTTGCAGAATTGGAAGCTAGTCGGTATGTTTCAATGACCTGTGAGGGTGAATACTTCATTAACATGGTCTAGGGCACGTCTTGAACAGGGAAGAACAGCTCCCTCGACTTGTTGAGACAAACCGATCCACAAGGCAAGTCTCTCGGGGTAGAAGAAAGCTTGCCGCGCCTGACAGAATTCAGTGGTATTTGGGCACCGACACTGCGCTATCACGATGATACGTTTTGGCTTGTTACGACTCTTGTAGACGATGATAGAGACGCGACAGATGCTTCGCGGTGGGACAACGTATGATCCGATCCACGTTCTTCTCCTTGACTCATCTAACTCAGTTCTCGGGTCCAAGATTATCTTCAAGGCGCAAGATCCTTTTAATCCGGAATCTTGGACCGACGCGGTACATTTTGAGTTTGAAGGATACGATACAGAGCCATTTTGGGACGATGATGGTAAGACATACATCAATGGTGCCCACGCCTGGAAGATCGGGTATGTGTTATGGAAATGAGAACGACCCTCGGAGGAAATAATACAAATGCTGAAACGATACGAGACCGTGGATTCAACAGGCGGAGGCCGATCTCAACACCGGGAAAGTCGGCGAATGGAGAACTATCTGGAATGGCACAGGCGGCATGGTCTGTGATGAGTCCTCTGGAGACTTCCTCAGGGCTGACATGGGAACAGGCACCCGAAGGACCACATATCTATCGTAATGATGGCTACTACTATCTTCTGGCTGCCGAAGGTGATTCCAAATAAACATCCTGTGGGCTCCGAAAGCTAATGGCAAGTTGAAAGGCGGCACTGGGCTTGGCCATATGGTCACGATGGCCCGCTCAAAGAGTATTGGTGGCCCGTATCAGTCAAGTCCATTGAACCCTGTTCTGACCAACGCCAATACTACCAATTATTGTTAGCAAAGCGCAAAGAGTGCTCTCTTTCCAAATTGGCTCTGCAGGCGAGGCTAACGGAGATCAGTTCAAACTGTCGGACACGCAGATCTATTCCAAGATGCCTCTGGGAATTGGTAAGGAGCTCCACCATTGTACTTCGAGTAGCTAATGAGAACCAGGTGGTGTGTTGCCTTGGGCACGAGATCAGGGCCAGAATGGCGCAACTTTCCAATGGGCCGAGAGACTGTCATGACTTCGGTAACGTGGAACGAGGGGGAATGGCCATACTTTACCCCCATCGAAGGGAAGATGAGTGGCTGGGAGATGCCGCTTGAGAATCTGGATATTGAAGGCCCCGGGTACGTATTACATCTTTTCCCTCTCAAGAAGACTTCTGCTAATCAAGCTAGCCCATGGATCTCACTGGGAGAAATTGAAGGCGACGCGTTTGACTTCTCTCCGAATTCGACCCTTCCAGCTCACTTCACGTATTGGCGGTATCCGATCGGAAGCTCATACATAGTTTCACCGCCTGAGAAGCCCAACAGCTTACGTCTGATACCCTCCAAACTCAACCTCACCGCTCTAAATGGGAACTACGCGGGTCCCGATGGCCAGACATTCATTGGAAGAAGACAGCAAGACACGCTCTTCTCTTATAGCGTCGAGCTTGACTTTCAACCAACCGAGGAGGAGGAAGAGGCCGGCGTTACGGTGTTTCTTACGCAGAACCATCACCTTG